ATAGTTTCAAGAATTCTAATAAAGTACTAGCGTGACTGCTTAAGTTAAAAAAAAAAAAAAAAAAAAAAAAAAAAAAATTACTTCTTTTAGAGCTTTCATTAGTCAGCGAATAGATGAAAGAGACAAACCTTGATGAGTGAATTTTTTAATTCTAGTGATTATTTCTTCAGATTTTTTAAGATATTAAACATCAGCATGACTATCTGGTATATGACCATTGTGCTTATGCCAATAATTAACTACAACAACCTCATTAGAAAAGGTAGCCGATTGATAATTAATTTGCAAAACACATTTGCACCTAACTTTTTTTGATTCCTTTTGAACACATCGTTTTTTCTGAGAAACACCATCTTCTATACGATCAGTATGTATTTGTTTTGTACTAGCCCAGGAACAAGTATAATATTCAGACCAGACACCATTCTTATTTTTATAAGTTTCACGAAACTTTAAAAAATTAATATTTTTTGCGGCCTCCTCTTTTTTCATCCAACTACAATATGTATTAAGTGGCAAAGTAAATTTGCAAAAACCCTTATGTTCCTCAAGTATATATAGTGAAAATTGATTAGCACATGTTTGAGTATAATTTATAACTATATTGGCAAGTTCTTGCTATGTTTCTTTACTGCTATCAAGTTTATTAGGCACAGATTTGTCAAACCCATATTCATCAAATATAACCTCATTAAGTGTAGCAGCTTCATTGCGAACAGCAGCTTTGCTGTAAGCAGCAGCTTCGTTAAAGGTGGCAACTTTGTTATGGGTGGCAGTTTTATTAAAGGCAGCAAATTCGTTATAGGTAGTGGTTTTATTAAGGGCAACAGTTTCTTTATGAGTGGTAGTTTCATTAAAAGCAGCAGCTTCATTATGAGCAGCAGCTTTATTAAGTAAGGGTTTATCAAATGCAAATCTGTAACTATTATTAATTGCCATTGTTGTAGTTTTCTATTTCTTTTTTTTTTTTTTAAAAAAAGAAAAAAAGATTACTAATCGCAAAAAAAAAAAAAAAAAAAAATATTTTATATAAAAAAAGTGGCCAATTAGAATCATATACCCTGTGCCATATATCGATCTGGAGCCTCAGATCTGCAGTTTAGAAGGCTGATTTTCCTTGACATAAGGGTATCCAAGTGACTAAGCGATTACTAACCAACCGGAATGTTCTGACAACTTCTACTAATAATAATAATACAATAATAGAATAACTAATACTAATAATAATAATAATAAAATAATAATAACTAATAATAATAAAATAATAATAAATTATTCTATAACAATAGTCTAATAATTAATTTAGTTTGCTAAATTTATTAACTAATATTCTATTTTTTTTTTTTTTTTTTTTATTATTAATATAATGTTCAAATAGAAACTTTGTATATATAGATAAAATCATAAGTTCTAAAGTTAAAAATTTCTAAACTACATTTGTGCTACAAATTGGCACCCAATATGACATTACATCCCCTATTTCCTATAAGTGCTATAGCTAATTATTTCAAATTAGGTTCTAGCTAGAATAGGTTAGAGAAGACCTTCAAGTAATTGTCTGAACATTATTAAATACATGTAGTTAGTAAATAACCTTGTGTGAGCCATTTGATGATAAAAAAGTTAGTATTTATAGTTTGAGAAGAGATTGTTGTATTGTTTAAAGAATTTGGTAATATTGGTAGGTAAATTTTGATATGTTTAGATTTTGATATAATGTTATAGAATATTTCTTATTAGTGTTAGTATGTATTGTAAGTATACCAAAAATCTTAGTAAAACTAGTTTAATAGATTGTTTGAGAGCTAGAGTAGAAAGTTGACCAATTCTGTAACTCTTTTCATAGATCATTTGTACCAAATTTTTGCTAAAAACATTTAATTATTTCTTAATATTTTACTAAGTAAACCTTACTTGTACTTCTAAGTAAAGTTGCTCAGCTCACTTTCACTTCCTAGGTGACTAAGATTTAAGCTTTTGCAACACTTGGCCATTGAGAAAACTTGCAAAAATCAACATTTTGGGTTTTGCTTATTTGCTTAATATTTTACTAATTAATTATACCTTGTTACCTATTAGAAAAATAACAAGCACTTCATTTCAGTCATTTTGATATATATTTTATAGCAAACAAACCAAAACTTACTAAGATATTAGAAAAAAGACAAAACTAAAATCTGCATTTGCAGGTTATTTTACTGGTTAATTTAGAAAAATTCATTAGGTTGTTCTAGAAAATTCATTTTTTTAGCACCTATTAAAATTTCCTAAACATTCAATTAGCCTTTCTATTAGCCCCACATTTCTCAGATTCTTTCTAACTTATTTGTAAAGCCCCCAAATTAGAATATTTTACTCAGAAATCAGATTCTTTAATCCAATTTGAAAATTGTTTTTTACTAGTACAAACATCACACTAGGATAGTTACACAATATGCCTAGCATTACCACTATTGAACTAGACTTCTTCGACCTAGATATCCTCCAAAACAAATATAGTAACTGAACCTTAGTTACTTCAGACAAAAATTGTAAAAGCTTCAAAGTTCTTCCAACTAACTTCAATATTACACAATGTGACATTAACAATGGCTACCACTTTTTCTCCAGCTTTACTCAACCTATTATCTTAAGATGTCTCTGTGGAAAATATCATAAATACTTTGCTTCACAGCATTTATGTCTATCACTTACCTCTAATACCATTTCCATAACAGAAACTGAGCCATCTAACTCAATAAAAATTGATCTAAATGCTAAACTTTACAAATCTCTTTATAACATATCAAAGCCATCCTTCCAACCCAAACACAATATTGCTAACCTATTTTTTAACTGCTACAGCAATAGTAGACAAGATACTGATAATCAAATCTCTTTTATGACCTACTCTCATCATGCATACACATGTATCATTTGCAAAACCAAAGATGTATTCTGCATTATGCTAACTGACAACAAACATTTATTAGATCCAAAAGCTCTTGTTTTTAAAACTGAAGTTGGTGGCTTTCCTGCCTACTCTCAATATATTCACAGACTCAAACTAAAGTTAGCCAAATTTACAAGCTCTATAAACTGGGAACAACATGGCCTTTACTGCAAAATCAAATGTTTTCAACTATCTGTAGTAAACAAATGCACTTTCTTTAAAAAATTTTTGAATAAGCTTCTCAAAAAGACTAAAAATACTAACAATCAATTAGACAACAACTCCAATTCAAAATAAACCTCAAATAACAGCAAACAGAATGTGAATAATGACAAACAACCTAAACAAAAAGCAAACACTCAGAAACATGACACTTCCAAAGACTTTAACTAGTTTAAAAACTATTCTATTACTACAACCATGCAACAACATAATAAACTTAACACCCTACTGGCTCTACAAATATTCAACCTTTTGAAATTCAACCTTAGAGACTTTATTCTTAGACAAGTTATTCCTAATAAATCTGAAAATGACAAAAATAACAACAGACCACCTGCCAAATTCCCCTTCAGCTATATTCTTAACAAAATGGCAAGTGAAAAACCTAAGTTCTTGTCAGAGTTCATTATCAACTCAAGCCCTAACTAAGATAAATCAAAATCAATCCTTTTTAAAGCTTTTTATGATACTCTTAAAGGTTTACTTTCCAAGTTTACAGAAGTTTTCTTCACACAACTAGACTATCTACATATCCTCTGATTACACTATTCTATCCCATCCTACTCACATACTAACAGATGTAGAGTCACCATAAACCTAGCCTACTTACATCTTTATCTAAACCATAAATATAAAACTATCAATTTTGAAGAATTTATAAAAAAACTTGACATCAAACCATTATAATTTACACTTCACTTTGACATTAAACACAGTTTCAAACAACTTGAATTCACAATCCAAAATGACAATTAATTCAATATTAACACAACCCTTAACATTTCATCTGAAAAATTCTTAAAAGACTTTAGAATCCCATTACTTAAACTCCATCTTACAACTTATAAAACCTGGTTTAAACCTTTTTTTGAAAAATACAGCATCCAATTTAAAAAAATCAATCAACAGAAAACAAGCAATTATATTAAAATGTTAATATCACAAAAATTAACAGAAGAATTCAAAAAACTACTGCCAATATCATACTCTCTACCTATCTTACTACATACTCTTAAAGAGCACTCTGAAGCAACATTCAAAGCAGCACTTCATTACATTCACCTTTGTACTAACAAAGATTGTGATCTACTATCCAAATCAACTGAACATAATCTAGAAAATATATCTAAATTTTATTTTACTAACTTCTTAAAACCTATTTAGTACCAGAATCAGAACAAAAAGAATAGGTATACCCAACTCTGAAAACTGATATCTTCTATCCCAAACAAAAATTCATAACAAATTTTTCTATTTCAACACCTACAGAAAAACTCAGAGGCCTAGCAATATTTATTGAAAAAACTTTTGCAAAGCTCAATAAAGTAGAAAGTAATACAGCCCGATATTCATATTACTTCTACTGATACTTAAGAGCTTTTATGCTAGTAGCAAAAGATAATAACCTACTTACAAGTTTATTCCAGAAAGAAGCCCTAGAAAAAATAAGCAAAACAACTGATGACATCCATACCCTTACAAGAGTTATTACATATTTTAAATTAGAAATAGAATTCAAAATATCACTTAAACAAATATGTATTAATTACAACTAATTCTACTACTTTGCAGCTAAAGATTTCCTGATAAAACATCTTAAAATTTCAATTCCAGAACAATATGAAGATTCCCTTTTTATACAAAACTCTAAACCATCTATATCTCAAGAAGAGATAAGGATACTCCTATACCTCCAAAGGAAACAACTAAAGCAACAGAAAGCACTACTCTTATCTTGCAAGAGAAAAGTGTAAATCCTTCTTTTCAGTAATGTTTTTTACAGAACACATTGATGCAGCTGCCACTTCTAAAAATATGATGTCCTCCACATTTGGGCCATCTTTAGAAAAGAATGATAACAATAGACAGGCAGTAAAGCTTAGTATAAGCAAATCTGTAGAAAACACTATATATAATGTCTTTGATACCAATACTTTAACTTCTTTAGAGACAAATACTTGTTATAACAAATTTTTAAAACAATACCATCTACCTCTATTACCACAATCTATAACACTTAAAGATTTCATTAAACACTTACACCAAAATCTCTTCTTCAACCCAATTAAAATATCAATTAATCTTGATAATACAGAAACACATGTTTATACTAAAGTTACAGATTCTACTATTCCTAATCATACAGCTATAAATCCTATTCAATATAAATCCTATAAACATTTATCTATTTTAACATTCCTAAACCAAATAACATCAAACTATAACAGCCATCACTTCACAAACCACAATGCTTCAGAAATACAAACCAGCAACAACCAACTTCACTTATCAATCAGTACATATAATGTTTGAGAATTTAATGAAAACCTGAAACAACAAGTATAGAAAGACTACTGTCTTTCTAACAATCTTAGAATTATCAGTATAACAAAAACCAAAATTGCAGCCAACAACCCTATTACTAAACTACAAAAATCCAAAAACTTTACATACAAATAATAATGTACTGAAGGCCCTAAAGCAGGCACAGCTATTATGATCCACAAGTTCATAAAAACTTACATTCATAAAATACTTATCTCTTCTGGATATGCTATTGCAGTAGACATTCTTTTTAAACATGACTTCAAATTCAGAATCATTTCAGTTTACTTACTATATGATAATACTCAATTATGACTGTTAGTACAAAACACTGTAATATAATGGCTCCAACAAGCCTATGCATCAAATATCCAACCTATTGTCCTAGGGAACTTTAATGCCTCTGATAATATTACTCATTCTTTATCAACTAAATATAAGTTACTTTATTTTCTCCAAT